AAATTTTACTTACTTACTTACTTACTTACTTACTTACTTACTTACTTACTTACTTACTTACTTACTTACTTACTTACTTACTTACTTACTTACTTACTTTCTTACTTACTTACTTACTTACTTACTTACTTTCTTACTTTCTTACTTACTTACTTACTTACTTACTTAAAAAATTTTTCATAATCTATTGTTAACGGTGGAAAAGTCTGAAAACCTAAAACAAACATAAAAATTGGAGCTGTTAGAATCAGTACCAAAACTTGTAGTTCTCCACAAATAATCACCTCAAACTGAAACAGAAAAGGGAGGTAAATGACAACAGCAGAGAGTGGAAAGAATGACACAATGACTGAGTGATGGCCACGTATAAAACTAGCACGTGATGATGGCATCACAGAGACGAGTTGGCTGAACCTTTCCTTTTCTTTTATTTGTTGCTATGATTTTTTTTTTACATCCTGCTGTTAACCACTTCAGATTAACAAGCACATGTTCCATAGGTTCTGTGCACATGAGGCTAAAATATCAAATTACTATAAAACCATTTTTACTGAGAGCCTCTTCAAAGCTGCGGTTCCAGTGTGCAGTGAGTGACCTGTCACAGTCATRTTAATCTGCTAATGTAAGAAAAATACTGTTATACTGCCTAAGAAGAATGGCTGCAAAATGTTTCACATTTCTAACGTGGTGTTTTCATGTGTGTGTTTAAACTAGCATAAAGTAAGATTCAGGGTTTGTGCCTACATCATCATGTTCTCCATGCTGTTCGAACACTTCCAAATGGCTCCAGTGGCAGCAGCCAGGAGCTGCTTGTTGTCTGATTTCCTGAGCAGTAAGACCAGAGGATGCAGGCCTTTGTATTTGCACACCAGCTCACAGGTTTTTTTGTCCTCCAAACACTGCAACCCAAATGAAGGAATAACATTATCATYAACGGATTCCGTTTCTTTTCTCCACTACATTAAACCTTACATCGACCAGTGCACATGGAAAGAAGTCTGGTACCTTRAAGATTGCACTGGCACAATGCATCTGTAGCTCATCATTGTCCCGGCTCAGGATTTTCACCAAGTCCTTCATCATGCCTTCAGTAATTATGGCAGTCCTGACCTTTTCCTGTGGGAACATCAGATCAYATGCAGTAGGCATGGATAAATCTTACATTACAACTGTGCATTTCTTTATGTGGTAAACATTTCTTCACCTTCTCCTGCTAAAGTTCAGACTTTTYATATTTTCTATGAATATGTAAAACATACATATATCTATTTTTCAGAAATGTGTATTTCTATCATGATTCTTGGTTCTCTGTGTTTTATTTTGTAAAGGGACTATGAATAGTCAGTAGCTTATGTTTTGAGATATTATTGTTGCCTAATAATGATTATTTCATCAATGAAGTACTACAATATGAACTTGTGTTAATTTATAAAAGCAATAACAGTTGGACTCAGACTTTTAGGTTACATAGAATAGAAACAGGTGTGAGTTGCATGGCTGCCCTCACCTCTGTGGCACATTCCTGCAGGGTGCCCACAACAGGGATCAGCATGCTCTCATGTGGAGATTTTAGCAGGCGTCCCAGCAGAGGGAYGGCCCCGGCTTGCAGAATGGCCTTCTTGTTTTTGGTACTCTTGCTGCAGCTCCACAGAGCTAAGACCCCACAGCGAACCACCTCCATGTCCATACTCAGGTTTGCATTAGGCTTGGCTGAATTAGGGATGCAGTCTAGCAGCTTTACCTGATCAGAGAGAGAGAGGCCCCCAGACTTATGAGTCAACAAACTCAAACAGTAAAATGTGTGCAGACGAGGTGTTTCAGTAGAAAACCACCAGGAAGTCATTCAGAAAATCTCTGTCAACCTGACATGAATTCTCAGTAAGTTTGGGTGATAATGAGAAACGTGTTGGTCATGATTAAGAGGGTCATTTCAGTTATAATACCACCTAGGCTCAGGCGGTATGAAGGTACAGAGGGTAAAATAAGTATTGAACATGTCACCATTTTTCTCAGTAAATATATTATTAGAGGTACTAATGACATGAAATTTTCACCAGATGTTGGTAACAACCCAAGTGATCCATACGTAAATCAAACCAAAAATGTCCAGAAATGAAG